TTTGATTGGTGGAATTTTGTAATTTACCAATAAAATTTTCGAAATTCCCTTATTCGAAAATGTGGACAGTTTAAGGGTACTTATACCCAGTTTTTGCTAGAAAACCCCCCAAATGGTCTTCGAAAAGGGGAAGATCCCTCTATCCATAGTTTTTGGGCCATCATTTTTTGTTAGATAATCAATCAATAAATCAATCAATATTAGTTATTAGTCTACTTTCTTTATTAACTTACTATTTCAAACTATGACCTTATTATAGAGATATATTATAGTTGTTATTAATTTGTTATTACACTAGTTAAAAAAACACTTCTGAGAGACATACTGGCACTTATCTTGCAGAACAAATTAATAGTGTGTGGTCAATACAATAGGTCCCGAAAGATTGTTTCTTTGATATCTGGTTCAGGTGTCAATGTCAACTTAGCAAAATCTAGTGTAAAAGTCAAATACATTTTTAACTCGAGATCCATTAACCATTGTTTTAATCTTATTTCCAAAGACATTAATTTCATATCAAGATAAATAGAACAAACATAGTATAGTTGCAAAATTCTTCAAAAAATCACATAGTGGGTTCTAATAGCACAAAGGAAAAGTCTGTATAGGTGGGGGCTTAAAGCTCTATCACACTAAAATATGGAAAACAATTCGTGCAGTATTAACTTAAGCTATAGGATAATTACTTTATGTTTATGTTTTATTTTGTCATCTACTTTACTACAAAGAGTTTGCTGAAATTTATCATACAACCTACCTGTTAAGACACATTGGTAGTTTCGAGGACTGCTATACAAAAACTCAAAAGTTTATCTCCAACCTTGAGGATTATTGCATGTATCTTAAAATAGCTTTAAAGAGAATAATTTAAGGGCTTTCAGCCGTTGTTAAAAAAAATGGTGGTGATTGTTCATCACTCTAATTATTTATAAACCTTGTTGATGTTATATGAGCATTTCCAAATAACTTACAATTTATTAATAATAAGATGCATAGATGGTCTGCTATACAAAAATTTGAACGTTCATCTTCAATCTTGGAAGATTGTTACACACATCTTATTATAATAGTTTTAGATGGAGAATAATTTAAGAGCTTTTAGTCATTGTTAAAAAAAAAAATGCTGGTGATTATAACCATTTAAAAACCTTGTTGAAGTTATACAAGCATTGCTGAAACACTAAAACAATAAGAAGCATTTAATGTAGCTTTAGAGAGAATAATTTAAGAGCTTTCAATCATTGTTAAAAAAAAAAGGTCATCACTCTAGTTATTTATAAACCTTGCTGAAGTTATACAAGAATTGCCAAAACACTAAAACAATAGGAAGCATTTAACATACAATTTACTAGTAATGATATACATTTGAATGTTCATCTTCAACCTTGGAAGATTGTTACACAGATCTTATTAAAATAGTTTTAGATTAGAGGGAGAGCAATTTAAGAGCTTTCTAGTCATTGTTAAAAAATGATTGTGACTATTGACCATTCTATTCATTTACAACCCTGTTGAAGTTACACAAGAACTTGCACCACTAAAACAATATGAAGCATTTAATGTAAATTCATTAGTAAATAAGATACACTGATAGTATCGAGGTCTACTGTAAAAAAACTCGAAAGTTCATTTTCAACCATAGAAGTGTTACACACATCTTATTAAAATAGCTTTATATAGAGGATAGTTTTTTCTAGCTATTGTTAAAATTGTTAAAAATGGTGGTGACTATTGATCTACAATTCATCATTTTAGTTATTGGTTTTTTACTTATAAAAATAGTAATGGTATTAAGAATGGAAACCATTGCATTAAAATAGTAATGAGCTTGTGTTTTGTGAACCATCAGCTATGTGCGAAGAAAGGAAGTTTATCAAAAGCTATTCATGTTGGCATTATTAATGTGGATAGTAAGAAGCAGGTTGGCAATATATTGGGCACATTGCCATTAATAATATGGTTAAAATGGACCATTAATGGACCTGTATCATGGCCAACCCTGCATTAAAACATATAATGAAAGATAGGGCTTTTAAAATTTATCAATATTAATTGTATGCTTAATGAATTTGACAATTAATATTAATAAAAAGTTCATGGGTTATAATTACCTTTTGGCTTTTTATTTACATCCACAATAAGGTTTGATTATCTTGTATTATAAATATAATTAAATTCAAATTATAATTAAGTGTTGTAATAATTCTAAATCATAATTTATTTACTATATATATATTAAATTAGGGTACTGATATAAATGATCTAAGACAAGAAAAAATTTCACAATGAATATCAAATCACTTCACATAGACTATCTGTATCTGTTAATCATACAGGATATAAAAAATAATATTTAAATAATTTATTTTCTCGGTTATGAAGATATAGCCTTCATTTAGAACCATACATTCAACAATCATAATATCACATGATGAAGCTTTTTTCTATAACACCAAATTCTATTGCTTGTGAACGGGTATTCTCAACATTAAGATTGGTTTTATGGTAGGCGTCGTAATAGTTTCTCTTTGCAGAAATTGAAAGCTATAGCAAAAATTCATAGATTTTATCTTGGTAATTCGGGAGAGTGAAAGTTTGTTGTTAGCAATAAAAATGAAAGTTACAATGGCATATAATGATATAGAATCAACTTTGTAAACGGTATCAATTATATAGAGTTAGAATTAGAATATTTCTTCAGTAAATCATGTTCTAGCTGTTAATTGATTATCGAACATTCACGATAATAATAATACTATAATATAAAATTTTTATCAAAAAGAACACACATAATATTATTGATACTAACAAACATAATATTGTTGACAATAATAATTTGAGAGACTGTTTGGACAGCAAGTTGAAGTCATTTTCTTGTGCAGGAATAGTAAGTTAAAAAGTTAGAGATTTGTTGTATTTGGTTATGATTAAATCAAAAATTGATTAATAATCAGATTTCAAATTGTTGAGAATAACAATAAAAAAAATTACAAAGTTTATTAATATAATATTTAGAAATTTTTATTGTCATTATAAATTTTGTTATGAAGGAAAAAAAATTAATATTGATTAATTCAAGACTTATAAATTTTTTCATTGTCATCGTTACCATTTCATTATTGTATTATATCATGTAAAAACACCAAAATGTCTTTTGAATCCAATTCACTAGAAACCCTTGTTTCATATTCAGGATCTGGAAATCCAAATAATCCATCAATACAAGTTTTATGATGAATACCATTCCATATTGTAGTATCCGACAAGTTAGTAGTAAGTGAAGTACCAACAGAGAAAGTGTGACGATAGTAGAATGCTGTCACCAGACGAATGAATAGCAAAGGACCCCATTTAGAATAGATAGGACAAACAGCAGTACGTATAGTTCCTCTGAACGGAAGTCCAGGTGAAGGGTGAAATGATGATTGTGTGCCGTGTGGAATAAAATAACAAATAAACCAAGCACCCAGCCTATCACTAAAAAAATATGCCATTTCACCATCAGGCATGGTTCCGACTGCTGTTGTTTTTGATGTGGAGTTATAGCAAGGTTTTTTACAATTCGGACAAATTTTTTGTGAAGTAGGAGTTCTCAACCAAGTTTCTATACAATTTCTATGAAAAATATGCGAGCAATTGTTCAATTCTACAATATCATTTCCACGGTTAAAATCCAACAAATCGGTGCATATGGTGCAAGCTTCTTTTGTGGATATTGCTTCTTGGGCACGATCATAATTAGGCATTTTCATCGTTTCATCCAAATTCATCATAGTTTGATTATTTATTTCAAGCTGATGTCTTTTTGTAGAAACAACTCCTTCATGACTATTCATGTTCCTCAAAAGGTTGATTAAATCAGAGTCAAGATCATTTAGTGTTATAGTATTTTGTTTATTAAGTACCAGTTCCAGATATGATATAAGATTTGGATACATTCCACCGGTACTAGCTGGCCAAAATTGTTTATCTGCCAAGTTTGCACCATAAAAATGGTCTAAACCTTTTGATAAATTGACTTGAAATTCCCATTGACGCATCATAGAATCAGCTTTATATTTTGCCCATTTTGCAACTTCAGCTGGTTGGGAGATTGGTGGCAAGTTATTTGGATTTGTATTTGCAATTGTATGGAAATGAGAATGAGTCATGTTTTTTTGGAAAGTAAAATATATGTCGTGTTATTGTTACTATTGCTATGAAAACTATAATGTTTGACTATCTCTTTGTGGACAGCCGCAGTTCTGTTATTTCAAAAAGGAAATTCCATGTAATATACGTCATATTTTTATAAAAAATTTCTTTTTCTCTAATTGTAACTAGGCTCTCTCCAAAAGATGTGTGATCCATTACATCCATTATTTAAATCAATATAACAATAACACCTGGATCAATTAATCAAATGTAAAATTTATGTCCATTCATTGTTTTACAAAATATATGGGCTTGCTTCAGTCGATTTTTACCAAGACCATTTCTATATGTAACAACATTTTTGACTTGGAAATCACTGCATAAAACAAGAGTAAATTTCAAGAAACAAAATTTAGTGTAATTGGATTTATCATTTCATAATTTCCTTGCCATCATTTTATTTTTTTTTTTTTTGCTAACTATAAAGAAAAATACATAGGATTACTACTCTATGCAAACATAATTGTTGTATTGCATTGCTTATCAACAAAAATAAAGTTGTTAAGTTGTTTGAACCAACCCTACATTCAAGATTATATTTGTTTTTATTGGCATCAAAACAACATTCACACCACCCCATCTTGTATTTGAACATTTAGAAACCATCACCAACTCACTTATTTCAGGTAAAAAAAAATTCAATTACAAACCCTTCAATAATTATTGTTAAACACAATTTTATTTTGTTTTTTAATAAAGTAAACAAAATATTTTCATTAGCAAATAACAAACATTTAAAAATGCTTACCTTCAACAATGAGCTTTTTTATAGGTTGTTTCTTGCTCACTGCAAGACTTACAAAAATCAATTTTGTAATATAGATAGATAATCAACAAAATATAACCAAAAAGAAGCCAATTCAAACTTATTGGTCAGAGTTCCCAAAGAATAGTAATACTCACAATGCCTTTGGGTCTGAATATTTTCCTCCCATGCAGGTGCTTTGACAAATTTTTTAACTTGTGTTTTTTTTTATAAATTATTTTATATATTTTTCCATGTATTTCTTGGATATCTAATTAACGAATATACTGCAGATTATAATGTTGTTACAAAACTATCATGTCAAATTCGCTGCCATTAAATAAAAATGACAAGTAAAATTGATTTAAAGGCTAATAAAATATAAAAACTCAAAAAATTGTAATCCCAATCACTAAGTTTTTCTTTTGTTGAATACAAATTCACACTCATGATACATGATCGGGATAGATAAAAATCATCATCGATTAGAGATTCTGTAGTTTATGTATGTTCCAGGGTCGACTAATTTTAGTGTGTAATTATTATTATGTAAATAATTATAATATCAATGTTAATCGATTCATCTTTATCTTTATCCTTATTGTAGTGAACAATGAAAATTTCATTGATAACTTCTGGGCTTTGTTTGAAAAAGCATAAAATAATTAATATTCTAATAAAATGAAACTCTGCGATAGAATCATTATTTTTATTAAATAAAAATTAAAATAAAACATTGTAGTTAATGCCTTGGTAAAAAGGTAACAATTGTGGATCTTTGGTACGTTTATCTGCTTTAGTGAGCAAGCAAGCTAGGACTAGCGTTGGTTAACTAGTAGGTGTCAAGGAAGTATCGTCCAAAGGTTAATCGGAAATACTGGTAATTGTAAATGTAAGGCTACTAAACAAGCTATTCGAGTTTTTTTGCAAGTAAACCAAAGCAAATTTGCAATTGGCCAATAAATGTAAACAACTGAAACAAATCAATCACAAGTGAATAAAAGGAACTTTATAGCATTGCAAAGGGCCGTCTTTATTCAATTACAGTTATCTGGTACCATTAAGTTGCTTACAGATTCATCTAGGTGCAACCAAAGTAAATTCGTAAACTAATTAATTTAACCATTAACTAAGAGTAGCCCAAAAGTTAAGCCATAATCACTAATTAATTGAAATGATACCTCACATTATCACCATTTAATGAGAATCAAAAAATTGTAAAAAATTTATTATAGGAAATATTATTATTATAAGAAACAAAATAAAAATAAAATAAAAAGATGAATAAAAACTTTTCTTTTATTATTGTTACTAGAATTTATGTATTGATTGATAATGAAATTTTTATTCGCCTTTGTTAACATTCTAGAGAAAAGAGTTAAAATCAAGATTATTCAATGAACTATCAAGCTTTTAGAATTAACAATCTCTTCATCTAATATTCTACTTGTATGATATGCATCTGGATGTGATTTGTGCGCTTGTTGCAAAGCATTACTACCACTACTGTCGTTATTAAAATCAATTTCATGTTTTTTGATTTTAGAAAATTTGAATAATCTTTTTATTAAACTATTATTATTGTTACTATTATTTTTTAAACCTTTATTTTTAATAATTTCTTTAAATTTATTTTAAGAAAAGTCAAAAGGTTCTCTACTAGTTACATAATTCATGCATAATCTTCAGGCATTTCAGGTAATATTGGTGGTTGTAAACCTTCTTCACATATATCAAAAATCAAATAATGATTGTGAGCTCTATCATCAAATGGTGGATGACCTGCAAATATTTCCCACATTAACATCCCAGCACTATAGATACCAGATTCTTTTGTGTTCTTTTTACCTCCAAGTAGCTCAGGTGCAACATATGATACAATTCCATAGACTTTGTTTGATGACTTTTCATCAACTGGTCCACATAACTCTAAATCTGTAATATAACAACAACCTCCTTGCAATAATATGTAAACCACAATGAATTAAATCTTTTCAATGTATCTGATGTAATAATGATTGCATAAATAATCAAAGATTATAATTCTGTCTTTTAATGTTAAATTTAAATGATGTTTTTGCAAATAATCTCTTAAATTTCCTTCTGGGTGATAATTTAAAACTATTCAATGATTTCCATTTACTGAGAATTTAGTTATACCAAACCACCTAACAATCCCATTTGATTTAATTTTACAATGATTCATTGCCTATTGAATATAAAATCAATTAGTATTATATAATACTGTATTGTTTTAAATGACAACTACCAACCTCATCAAAAAAGCCTTTTCCTGGATTACTTGAATCATTTAAACTTTTTAATATCACTATTCCTTTTTATTTCCATCATAATCAACAGTAGCTCTTTTTGTCCATGTGGCAGTATAAATTGAACTAAATTCACCTTCTGTCAATTTTGTTATTTCTTCAAATTGCTCAAAAGGTATCCATTCTAAAAAATATAGCCTGGTAGAGATGATTTCATTTGACATTGTTGAATAAAGTCATCATCAATTACGTTATTTCCAGATGTCAAAGTAGTGCTCTGTGATTGTAATCTAATACAGCTCTCACAGAATCTATCAGAGTATCTTGTCAGTTTACATTCTTTTGGTTTTCCCAATTTATACATTGCATTATCTAATTCAAATCCATAAATAAACCTTTCCTTATAATATCCTTTTTCATTTTCAGAAAGCTCCTTGTTTTTTTTTTGACCAATGAAAAAAATAATCTTTTCTGCTTTCTCTATCAAAATTAACCAGAGCATTATTATACATTTCAACAATAATAATAATTTATCATGTGACATTATAAAAATATAAAATATAAAATTCGACTTGGTGTTTTAACAGTTAAAAGAAAAAAGGTTGCCGTGTTCTAAATGTTGTAGATTTTTTTTTTTACACCAAATTTGAAATATTTGGTTGTAAAGAAGACTTGAAATGGTAAATTCAGTGCAGTTACGGATGAGATCAAAATCAAAGGGTAATGAATGAGTCATTTTTTTTCTTTTTTTGCTACGCTGGCTTGAAATAATTGAAATCTGAACAAAATATTTTCATTTTCCGAAAATGATAAATGGTTGTGGTTATTTCTATATACATCGCCATGTCATGAGAATTCCCATTACTATCTAATTGGCAACCGAAAAATTTATCTATTTTTGTTCAAAACGTCAGGGTTGAGCAAAGCAGGGTACTTGACTAAAAGGAAATCATGTTTCGCTTTAGATTTTTTTGCTCAAGAGTTTTAACATTATCAGGAGATGGTTGGACAGATGCGTCTCAGCATAGTATAATTAGTTTTGTTTTAACAAATGAAAAAAGAATTAGTCACTTGTGGAAAACTGAAATTTCGACTATTTAAGTTCTGTTACTATTGACATTCCTATGTGTGTAGGAAATGATTCTTGTTCATTACTTCCAATTACCCAATTACGTGCAAAGGACCAAATTTAATTTAGGAATAAGAAATAAGTCTATTTTACTTTGTCATAGTTATGAACACGCATTTGTAATTTTCGTACAAATCACGAATTAAATTTTTACCACCCCCTCGTTTTTTTTTTTTTTTTTAAAAAAAATAAGAAGGGCCCCTAAATTGGCCTAATTTAGAAAATCTTCGAGATTAGGTTCACTGAAATAAATTATTACAAATTACAACAATCACGATAATGGCAACAATGAAACCAGCTAGAAAACAAGTAAATTTGATAGCATTTAGTTTTTATATCACAACAGTTATTAATCTATTTACTTATAAAACTATATAGGTTAATAGTGAAATGGGGCCATCAAAAGCTGTTTTAAACGATCGTCCTGGCACCTTTTATAATATATGGTACAATAGATGGTCTGGTGGTGATCGTGCATCAAAATATACAAGGTAACTAGATAATAACGGTTTTGTTAGATGGAATTTATTAGTATCAATAATTAATTATTGTTTTATTTATGTTTTATTTATTTTGAATAGAGAGAAAGCAACAACTCGATGTAATGTCGAACTTGATGCTGGTGAAACTAAAGGTGATAAAATGCCCAACGCATATTTTTGTCTTAATTTTGCAAGAGGATGTTGTCCATTTGGGTATACTATATTTTTTTACATATTTTACATACTCTTTTATGGGGGAGAAGCAAGGAGAGAATAGAAGAAGGTTGAGAATGATTCCTAATTAATACTATGTATATATTTTATAAAGATA